GCTTTTTTAAATACTCTACAAACTCTATGAAATTGAATAGGCGCAAAACTGTCCAAAAACCACTTATTACTGACATAATTTAATAAAACGAACACGCTAAATAAGCAAATGCAAACAAAAAAAAGCATTTGGCAGAGTTTGTCATGAGAACAATACATTTAACAAGCAGTACAAGTTTACATCAATAATAAGCCGAATTACTGACAATATTTCCATACTTTTAAAACGACTCAAATATGTATTCTATTTAGGCTATTGTCTCATGATTTCTAACGAACAAATTCAGCATCCTTAACATACCAACACATCATCACAAACATACCTTGTTTTGTTTTTGCTTAGCAAATCGTTGTTGCTGTTTGTATTTTTAACTTCTTTCAATTGATATTCAACAATACGGTCATGAGTTTCTACAGGTAATATAAAATAAAAATGATTTTATAGTATCAGGCACGATACTCAAAGTTTATTAAATGACTTATTATATGGCGAACAATTACATTATGATGATAATTATACATCGCAAACACGCACAACAATTCTGTGAATTTTGTTTGACAAAACTTTTACTGGTTCACAGTTCAATCTTTCGTATTTTCCGATATAAGGCAAGAGAAAGTTATAAGCGTCACACATATCTTTTACGTTGATATGTGGCCAGTGGCAAGTTATTTTGTGCCGCGGAATTTAAGTCATTTTAAGAATAGATTGTAATTCAAAGCAAAGATACGGTTTATGATTTTTATTGTTTTTTATAATTATAAGTTTGATTTTAATTTTGAGTATGTTGATTGATAAGTTAAAAAATGTAAAATCTAATGCATTATCATAAAGTATATGCTTACTATAGGATTATCTTTACATTCTTTACAGTGTGTATATACATACTCATATGCATATATGTAGTCGATTGCAAAACTAGAGGGATTTTATTCAACATTTGCATATCAGCATGAGACAAACACTATTTTACATATGCCTTTTTCATTTTTTGTTGAGGACTTTGAGTTTAAGCATATTTATTTTCATATTCTGTGCCATATATTTTGAATGCACTGATCAAAACCACTATATAAATACTTAAATTCCGAAATAGAAGTGATATCTTTTTTATGCAGTCGATTGCAAAGCCAGAGTATCTTCATTTTATATTAGCATATGAGCGTGACGCAAGTAATATTTGCTAAAAGCTCGAATAAAAATAAATGAATAAATGTCTTTTTATTTAGTGTTAGTGACAAGATGACAATTAACAGTGAAGCACATTTATTTTTCCATCGGTGTCATTTCGATTATACTAACGACAAATCATTATACAGCGTGTTCGAAAAAAACGGAATCCGCTTAAATTTATACGTACACATTAAATGAAATCTGCTTGAGACCACTTAGTCTGCAATGGAGATTTGTTCTGCCTGTTTTATTTAATTCCACGTTTTTCTATGTTTGAAGCAACTAATGAAAAAAAAAGGATTACGTTTTCGTGGCTTTACATTCTAATAAATGTCGCTTTTTTATGTTACAAAGATTTAATATTATTTGTGCAAGTTATAAGGTTCACATATATCCTTTGCGTCGATACTTGGCAATTTGTTCCACGGAATTTAAATCATTTCAAGGATATAGTAACTAATTGTTATGAAAACAGAGAAACGCTTATAATTTTGGTTTTTGTTTAGGTATTAATTGTATTATTACATAATGCATTCAGCAAGCTTACTATATAGGACTCTTAGCTTTTTATGAGAATATTTAAATGTACATTTTCTCTCGGGTATACGTATACTCATACAAGCGTAGGAAATACGATCATTGGGTGGTGGGGAGGAAGCTCATATTCATATATGCATGTTATAATCTGATTTTAAAATACGCATATTATGCTTGTATGAATGTTCTCCACAATTATCGATTTTTCTACGTCCATGCATCAGGGGGTGATGTTTTTGCATTGATTCAAGATTTCTTAAATAAACATTACCAAGCGTTTACCTTCCACTTCACCTTACGGCTGACCTATGTGTTACGTTTTTATAGGCAACTTAATCCTACGAAATATGCAATTCAAAAACAAAATCGAACTGTATCACACAAGAGAAATAAAATTTTAAAGACATCACCCCCCGTCAAGTGGCATGCGCAAATTTCACGATGCTCGCACGTGATCTACATGTTATTTTTAGGGCTGTGTTTTGAATTAAGATCCAATATGTTGTTATGGGAGGTTTTTCCCTTACGGATAAAGCTAATGTTTTCATTTTTTCGATTGGTACTAAAATACAGTGTATTTCGTTACGATATAGCTATCAAGATACTTATGAAGTCAATGAAGCGGGACTTATTAAGCAGAAAAGCAACGACACTTTGCAATGGCGCCGATATTAGGGAGTTTTAGCAAAAGTATGACTACGAGAACGAGTACGAAATTTGACCGTGTAAGGGAATGGCACGAGGAAGTTTGTTGTCGTTGTCGCTTCGTCAAAATTTTGCTTTAGTTGTACACAACAGAACGAGCCTTTTATTGTGTAAAACACCGACGTTGGCGAAGCAGCTACGGCTATATTTGTCAATAATGATATCAAAGAATCGATAATACTGATTTTGCGAGAGGATAGGACTCTTTACAGTAAAAAATCTTCACTATTTTGAGTTTCATGTACGATATATTTGTACTATTTTATTGTTTGTTTACCTTTCACTTTGCGTACGAAATACATGAAAGTTTTGCAGGTCATATTTTCCTTTTTAATGTACATCTGAGCTCAAAAAAGGTTCTAAATTAAAGCCTGGATGCTCGAAAATAGTACTGTAAACTAAATTCTTACAGAATGAAGAAATATACCTACTTTCTTTGCTTAAAAAGACATCGTAGTCGCGACTACGAATTTTTTACAAAACATCGTACTCAGATTGATGACGGCTACGTGTTGTTGTTGTCGCAACAATGTTTTCGCGCCAAAATGACGTAAATCGTACTCGTAGTCGTACTCGTAGTCTCTGCTAAAACTCCCTATTTAGCAGAGACTACGAGTACGACTCAGTGAACTCGACATTTGAATAACTGGAATGATAACCGAAGCCAAAAATTGAAGCCAAAAAAATATTTGTCGTCATCATTCGTCATCACACGTCAGGCTCTAGTCTCTCGCGTGTTCATTTTAATTTTTTTAAATCATTTGTCCCTTGGTAATGGTAGAGTTCGGATCTTGATCAGAGCGTAAAAATAACGAAATTTTTGGAATGAAAAGGTTCACGGAAAGTGAATCAAAGGGACAAATCGAGAAGCAGGGTGAGGTGAACTTAGTCGATCTGCTTTTACGCTGCGGTTTTCCTTTAAAACACATCAAAGTCTTTAAGGATATTCAATTACTGATATCGAGATGACAACCATTTAGTATTTCAAGCACTATCAAAATCGATGAAAGATACAATCGCTCTGTAAAAAGTAAAATGCGAGTTATAGACTCAACATTTTTTATGAACCTGGATATTCAAGTTTCTCTTTTCTTCGGAAAAACAGATCTTTAAATCCATTGAAACGACAAAAAAAGACAAACACTGTCTGACACCGTTTGAAAATTTACCTTCCGACGAAATAAAAATTTATGCTTGAATATTTTCTCGTCATATTTTCTTATTGTATTGCCTTTTTAGCATAAAGTGTAATTTTCAGTTGGCTTTTCCTCGTTACAAGTTGTAAGTTACAACGAACTCACTGTAGTAAAGTTTTAGCTGTAAAAAATAACCTTTTGCGAGGAGTTGGCCTAGTGTGTTGTTTGTCGTGATGTTGTTTATATGTTTATGCTTTTGCAGTTTGTATTCAAATTTATATTGGCCGTGTATGTTTGGCACTCAGGGGAATGAAACTGACGTACAAACCGCGTGAATATTCGACTTTGAAGGACTGGAACTGACGTACAAACCGCGCAAGAGACTAGGACTTTGGCTTCAATTTTATATCTATAAAATGTATTGTAGTTATCATTCCAGATATATATATATGGAGTTCACTGGTACGACTACGAGTACGATTTACGTCATTTTGGCGCGAAAACATTGTTGCGACAACAAAACACGTAGCCGTCATCAATCTGAGTACGATGTTTTGTAAAAAATTCGTAGTCGCGACTACGATGTCTTTTTAAGCAAAGAAAGTAGGTATATTTCTTCATTCTGTAAGAAATTAGTTTACAGTACTATTTTCGAGCATCCTGGCTTTAATTTAGAACCCTTTTTGAGCTCAGATGTACATTAAAAAGGAAAATATGACCTGCAAAACTTTCATGTATTTCGTACGCAAAGTGAAAGGTAAACAAACAATAAAATAGTACAAATATATCGTACATGAAACTCAAAATAGTGAAGATTTTTTACTGTAAAGAGTCCTATCCTCTCGCAAAATCAGTATTATCGATTCTTTGATATCATTATTGACAAATATAGCCGTAGCTGCTTCGCCAACGTCGGTGTTTTACACAATAAAAGGCTCGTTCTGTTGTGTACAACTAAAGCAAAATTTTGACGAAGCGACAACGACAACAAACTTCCTCGTGCCATTCCCTTACACGGTCAAATTTCGTACTCGTTCTCGTAGTCGTACTCTTGCTAAAACTCCCTAATAACAGAATGTCCGTGTACGAAATATCTAAGATAAAAGACACTGCATTGCATCCAAACTTGACAAAACTGGAGTTATAATATTATTTTATCATCAATGATCAGGAAAATGTACAAGATTTGCCGAATACTTTTAATATTCGGCGATAAAAAGCACATAAGACGGCAAAATATGGCTGAAAGCGGGTTAAGGAGCTAGGTATGCAAAATATATTCTATCGTATGCCAGCAAAAACAATGTCAAATGCTTGAAATAACGAATAATTAGAGTTGAACAATTCAACATCAGCTGTATAATTACTCTTTCAAAATAAATTCGCTTTGTGAGGCATATATGTCATTGAATCATAACACAAAGTTAGTGAAATAACACATAATGCACAATTATACAATACTTCTTCAGGTAATCTATAATAAATCTACTTTCTGGCATTATAGTAACATTATAATTAATTCAAAACGTATAAAAAGCTTAATAGATCGCCATCAATTTACATTTATGGACTGATTTATACATCGTAAACACACATAATGATTCAGTTTATTTTGTCTCACAAACCTTTTACTGATTGGCGGTTTAAGTTTTCAAGTTTTTGCAATTGACGTTCTTGGCAAATTTAAGCACTGTATGTATATCTTTTGAGTCGATACGTGGCATATTATTTTGTGCTACGGAATTTAAATCATCTTAAGAATAGATTGTTATGTAAAGCAAAGATACGGCATATGATTCTTATTGTTTTTGTTTAGGCAATAGATGAACATAACTTTGAGCAAAATTATCCACAGCAAAAAATGTTTATAATAATGCATTATCATAGATTACTTAGACACGTTTACACTATACCGGATTACTATCGTAGCAAGTTAATTTCCTTTTCACTAAAAGGCAGTGAATTTGCTCAACGTCAGAAACACAAACAAATGGACTAAATTTATCAACTTAATAAGTGTTAGCGCAGCTTTAGTACAGCTTACTTTAAACATTTGACGTTATTTGCAGTGCATATATATATGTACTAAAATAGGTGTAGGTTGATCTTTAATTTTTAGGGGGAGGGCTCATACTTAAATATGCATGTTGTGATGCATACAAAACAATGGTATTCAAAAGAGCTTAAATTTGCTAATCACGAAAATTTGAACTCTAGACTACACAATTATCAATATTCCGTACGCCCATACAGTTATAAGTTCAGATGAAGTCTGTTGCAAAGCAAGAATGATTTGATTCCACAGTAGCCAATTAATGTGAGACAAGCATTGTTTAATACAAACTTCAATGAAAAGAAATAATCAAATATCCTTTTATTCAGTTATTCTGTGTTAATAATGTGATGACACGAATTTAAGCCATCATTCATATCGATTTGCATAGCTGTTAGAAAAATTGCTCTGTTCATTTGTGACTTAAAATTTTATCTGCATCTATAAAATTCATTGATATCTCTTGTCATAATGATAGCAGGGTTTAAAAACATAGACAAGACATATAAAAACGTGATAGTACTTAGTAGCAAATAATGATCATATTACATCGTACATAAGCACCTTAAACACGCGTGATGATTCTGTGTATTTTGTCTTACAAACCTTTCACTGATTGATGGTTAAAACTTTCAGATTTTCATGTTTATACTGTTAAGCGTCTGATGTATCCTTCGAGACGATACGTGGCAAATTATTTTGTTCCACGGAATTCGAATTATCTTAAGAACAGATTGTTATGTAAAGCATAGATATGGCTTTTATGATTTTTATTATTTTCCACACGTTTGATTTTAAATTTGGAGCAAATTGATTGATTTGTGCTATAAATGTAAGTTTTAATGCGTATATACTCATTAACTCATATAATTTTATGAAATCACCAAAAAACATTTGGCAGATTTTGTCATGAAAACCAACGGAAGCGAGAGGCATTTGCTACATCACGAAAATCATCAAATTCAGAGACCATATATACAACAAGCGATACAAGTTTATATCACTAATGAACGGATTTGCTTATTTTGCTGGTCTATATTTCTATACTTATAAAATGACTCAAATATTTCAACAATTCAACATTAACTGTAGAATTACTCGTACAAAATAAATTCGCTTAGTGAGGATATATTTCATTGAATTATATCACAAAGTTAGTGAAATGACACATATTCAGTGGCGTAGCTAGCGGTCCCGCTACTCCCGCCCGGCGGGAGTAGAAATTTCCCAAAAAAATAATAAATATTCTATTTGGACATAAGATATACATTATTTCACGAACAATTTGTAACATTATGTTTTATTCGTTCATATTTACGCTTTATTAGGTGGTTCGTAATCGTAATACAGCAAAGTCTCAAGATTTGTTATGTAACCTAGCAACCGCCTTTTCTCGCACATTGCATACTCGCGCGATTCTCCACGTATTCCGCCCATCTTCAGAGGGCGGAACATACAATATAATTCTATATAAGAAGTTTTGAATTCTGGTTGGCTAAGGGACTTGACGCATGCTCAAATCTGCTGTTTTTATAGTCGAACTCCCGCTATTTTAAGGCCCTGTCTACACGTATCCGGATAAATTTGAAAACGCAAAACTTTTTTTACGGATGTACGTTCCGTCCACACGTATCCGGATAAAACGCCCACACAAACCGTATACTTTTGAAAACGCTGTCCAGAGTGGAATTTTTGGAAAACGGAAAAAAATTAGTCTCGTGTGGACGGGTGAAACCGTAAAAATACAGAAACGATGACGTATAACTAATTGGTCAAATATGGCGGAAACACGAAAGGTTGTTGCGATATTGATTTGCCTTATTTCAAGCATAATATCATGCGTCCAGCTTTATAATGCGGTGTTGAATTCTCACGGAGAATATATTCGAAATCGTATGAATATTATTCGTCAGCTTTCGTTGCTTGGTACCGGAAGGGGGATTGTCAAGCGGTTGAGCAAGAAGCGTCAAAGGAAAAAGCGAAGATTTTGGATTCGACCTGGAAGAACAAATGCTTGGTGGAACGGTTTTATACGTGAACTAGTAGTCCCAGAAGAATGGCGAGAAAATTTTAGAATGTCTCGAGTTTCCATTGACAGACTAGCCGAAGAATTAAGACCCTACATCCAAGGGGAAAAAACTATCATGAGATCTCCTGTTGATGTGTTGACCCAAGTTGCTATCACACTATATTATCTCAGTGATGAAGGTCGTATGAGAAAGACTGCAAATGCGTTTGGTATTTCTCGACAGACCTTTTCCAAAATTGTGAGAAAGGTATGCCAGGCAATAACAATACACCTTGGACCAAAGTATGTAACATTGCCATTTACTGAAGAGAATGTGCAAGAAAAAGTGAACAATTTTTACAGAGCACATGGTTTTCCACAGTGCTTGGGTGCAATTGATGGAACACAAATTCCAATAAAGCAGCCACGACAAAATCCTACTGACTATATTAACCGAAAAGGTACTTACAGTTTGAATGTGCAAGCTATATGTGACCATAAATACTGTTTTATGGATGTGGTTGTGAAATGGCCTGGAAGTGTGCATGATGCAAGGGTTTTTTCAAATTCCAGCCTAAACCAATTGTTGAAGAATGGCAAGATACCACCATGTCAACGCAAGATTTTAACTGATGAAGATCCAGTTCCTATTTTTATATTAGGCGACCCTGCATATCCATTAATGCCGTACTTGATGAAGGAGTATTCAAATGGTGGGTCTAATCAGCAGGAACAGTATTTCGGTATGACTTTGTGCCAATCAAGGATGGTCATTGAATGTGCTTTTGGTAGACTCAAAGCTCGTTTTGCAATGCATCCAATGGATATTAATCTTGATGAGCTACCTTTTGTGGTGTATGCATGCTTTGTACTACATAATTTTTGTGAAATTAGTGGTGAAAGAATTGCAGACGAAAAGGTCACTGCTTCTGTCGAGTATGACAAACAATTTCAGCCAGTTATTGCCGACAATAAATTCAGAACTGACTGTAATGAAGCTGAAGGTAAAAAATCAGAAGGATATTGACAAGGTACTTTGATCCATAGACAAACCAAAACTTCAATGAACAATGATTTAACAAAACCTATTTTTTATCTTAACCCAAACTATTTTCATCTCACTATGCAATATTTGTTACTAAGTAACTACAACCTTATAAAATATACATATCACTCTATGTTCATTTCAGTAATGCATATTATATTAAAAATTTTCATTTGTAAAGTGACTAAAGTGCAATGTGCTATTTTCTACATTCATGGGCTGTGCAGCCTGTGGTCTGTCCCAGTTGCTGTTGTAACCAGTAAGCCGAGTTGCAAATTGGGGAGGTAATGGTTGAGGATGCAGCATTACTTGACGAAGCATAGAAAAACCTTCCACAATACACCCAGTAAGTTGTTCCATATTTTGCGAGAATTTCTTCATTTGGGTAGCCTGCTGCTTATCCACTTCGTCCATCTTTTCAAGAAGACGTTTTTATATTTCAAGATCTTCTTGCATGGCATTCAGGAGTTGTTCGTCTGTTGATAACTTTCTCTTTAATCTGTTTTGTCTATAATTCTTCAATTTAGAATTTAAATATTCTCTTCGTTCAGAAACACAGTTTCGTTCATTTTCTTCATCGTCAAGAGTAGGTATTTCGGTATGAGGGCTGCTGGATGTTGAGGAAGCTATGGGTGTACCAATAGAGTTGACGAGACTGGGACATATTAAACTTGACTCAAACTCTTGTTGAATTTCTTGCGTCTCTATTCCAGATGCCATTGTAGTCGTAGCTGGTGAGCCTCCCCATATTTCCTGACATTTCTCGAAATAAATCAGCACAACTCTTCCATGCCCACTTTTCTTACCACAATCAACAGCAGCGCGGAATTTGAGTCTGATAGCTTTTAGTTTTGAAGTAATAATTGACTTATTGACTTCATTATTCTGGTGGGGAAACTCTTTTTCAATTTGGGCTGCATCATGTTCAGATGGATACTGAGCGAAGGAATAAATTCAAAATATCAGAATATTTAGATTGGCATGTCTCCCAGTCAACATTCTCCGCAGCTCTTGCAGTTTTGTACTCAAGAACAACGTTTAAAAGGAGCTCCACTTCATCGTCCGTCCACACAAAGTTTTCGGTTTTGCTCTTCTTGGATTTGGACGAATTTTCTAATGCGTTTGACATAATTTTTGAATTGTATTTAATAGCAATGCGCAGAAGAATGTCAAGTGTCAAGAAAGCACATATACGTACACGTTATTTGCAGGCTCATCTTGTCTGAAGCGCATGCTCAAATGGAATTTTATCAGTGTTGTCAAATTTATCCGGATACGTGTGGACGGGCGAAAACGATCCGAAAACGATTACGTGTGGACGCGGAAGTTTTTAATACCGTAAAAAAAGTTTTGC